TGTGTTAACCCCGCTGACCCGTTCCAGTTCCATGGTCTCCGGAGACAACATCAAGAACAGGTTGGATGTTTGTTGATTGTCTCCAGCTACACATGGCCTAAAGGATCCGAAATGTCACAGATGGGTATGCGCCGAAGTACCACAAGGACCAAGGAGTTGGTCATGTGTTCGTTCATGATGAGCTTAGACTTATCAACATCTCCGTATTTTCATGTATTTTCAGGTTTAACCCTGCAACGGTGCAACCATTTTTGAAGTGCAAATGTTCTGTGCACCTTCTCACCGCCCAAGGCATGAACCGGAAGGCCTGGCACATGGAGTAGCTGAGCGATGTTTGTGAATCCGCCTGATGTTTTTACTTTGGTGTTTCATGTGAGCGGCTGTCAATATTCGTGGTAGTCAGGATGCAATAAGTAGTAAAAGGTCAGCCACAATCCATCAATTTGGAGGAATCAGAACTTTATACTACTGTAATACTAATGATTTTGACAGCTGCCCATGCCCATGTGCATTTAGACGGCCCTGGCCCCGGTAATAATTTTCAAGACAGTATCATGTATCGACATGGCAATGCTTCATTTTGGAGAGGCACACGGTCCATAGTTAAATTTGATGAAAGTTGCAGTTTTACCCTTCAACCTCAGTGCGTAGCAAGATCACGTCACACCTGTGGTAGCCTTTGACATCGTTTGATCATGAATTTGGAAAGGGGAATTTTGTCAGCTGCATTGACCCGCAGCTGCAATTAGCTCCCGAGTTTCTTTAATCTTTGCTGATTGTATCCCCATTATTTCTTGCTTAAAGCCCATGGAACAGCATGATTTCCTCGTGTTTGTTTGCCTTCCCATCAGGCAAAGGTCTCCTCGGCTTGACTAAGTGGTCTCTGGGGTAAGCTTCCCAAAATGTCCAAAAGCGGATTCCGGGCCAAAGGTGCCCTGAAGAGGTGCATCCTGTGATCAAAAATACGCTGCCCAACTCCTTCAGGGTCACCGGGTGGTCAGAATTGGGTCTCAAAATTGGATGGTTTCAACGCCATGATCTGTGGTTCCATGGTGCCTCACGGAGAAGAGGTTCCTTTTGAGTTTCGTCTCAGTTTGGGATTGAGCTCAGCAACTGGCTACGACCTGCAGCCATCACGGGTATAGCCTGAATCCTGAAGATTCCCGTCAGTAGTTCATTTGTAATAATTTTGATATACTCTCAATGTATTTTGATTACCTCATATTACCTCCAAATTGTTGCCTTTCATTGTATAGTGACATGGTGAGCAAACGATCGCAAAATGACGTGTAAATCCATGGAGCTTGGCTTCATTATCATCCCAGCAACCCAGTCAGGACTTGTTCCAATGCAAATTGCAAGACGCATCAAGAAGTAACAAATACCATTCTTCAGCTGGAGTCTTTTAACATCTCCGTCGACTGTTGCGTGATGTCTCGATGTTCGGAGGAAAGAACTTCAAGGTTTTGCTTTAATATATATATATAAATTCTTTTTTTCTGTGGGGTCTGTTAGGGGTGGTCAAGCTTAATATGGGGTCAAAGTGCCATGGAAGATGTGCATATATGTGCATGTAATACGCGATCGATGTCACACCATTCCATTTTCAGGTTCAAAGCAACATTGGGACACTTCAGCTCTTCACATGTTTGTGCCAAACTATGATCTTTCTCATTGCGATTGAAATTGAATTCTATGATACTTTTCATTAGCAATTTCAATTGAATCCATGGTGTTGTATGGGCTTGTTGCCCAAAGGGACCTTGGAAGCTTCGGCATTGCATCCACTCCACCCACCCTTCCTGGATTTGACATTTCGATTTCACCATTCTACGGGAATTCCCGTTGCACAACACGTGCAAAGTATGATGGCCTTGGGAACGCTCGCAGGGTTCCCAGATGTGCTGGGACAGCAACTTATTTTGATTCATACCAGGTACTGTACATCAAACAATGGTTGACGCCACATAAGCATGCAGGTCAATGGCAAACTTGGATATGTCCTTGTTTTCTTCCTGATATCTAGTGCAGCACGTTTCATGGAAACTTGATACTATCAAACGGCCGCAGAATTGTTGAATAGTTAGTCATGTAGACAAGGGACCAAGTGTCAAGTCAACGAGATTGGTGAGGCTGTCCACCGTGGTCACACAAGAGTGGTTTTCAATCTCTAGTGGTTTTCAATCTCTCGCCACTGCTCAGCGTCAACCTCTGTTCAGCATGTTGTCCGGTCTTGACACAGCTGGAAAGGACTTGCCAGCTTTGGCCGAACTTCAGCAGGCAAATGACAATTTGAAGGCCCATTGCGATTTGTGGTTGGAAGCCCTTTTGCAAATACATGCATGTAGGTCATGTTCCAGTCTTGAGGAGGCATCCGGCAAAAGTGACATGTGCTTCTGTGCTGCTGCGTTTCTGTGGAAAATGAAATCCAACACGCAGTTAAACAAGCGTTAAATGTTTTTGCGTTTTTTTGACTGATTTGATATGTTGGTGGTCTGGCTTCATTCCCTGGAAAGGCCTTCTTGAAAACATTTTGTGACCGTCTTCGGGAACAAAGAATTGAGCGACAAAAATTCGAGGTTCACGTGGTGACCGGAAATTTGGAATGCAGGTAAACCAAGGGTTTAGAAAGTTTAGGATGGTGTCACTTATCGAGGATTTGTGAATAAAACAGAACAGGATATAATATGATATATATATATATGGTATAATATAGAAACAAAAGTCAAAGATGGCGAGTTCAATCTCATCATATTCCAGTCCCGTTTTCTGTGACTCCCTGGATTGCATCATTGGCATGACAACAATTGTGCTACCCTTCATTTGTCAGCACACAACTGCATATTTGTCGGGTCTTTGCTTGGATGCACCCTGTATGCATTAATAATTGAACTTGGCTTGGACCATGTGGACCTTCACCGGGTACTGTACCTTTTTTGCCTTTTCCCCCAACAGCGTAAGCTAATGGGGTCTTCAGCCCAGAATAACTCCGGTGTGTACTGGTGCAGGCGGCTGGTCAGATTCAACGAGGTTCCGGAGAAGGTTCCGGCGAAGGTTCCGGGAGGCTTTGGTGCAGGCGCCAGGTCAATTTCAACAAGGTTCCGGAGAAGGGAGACTCTGGTGCAGGCGCCAGGTCAGGTTCAACAAGGTTCCAGAGAAGGTTCCGGAGAAGGTTCCGGGAGGCTTTGGTGGGTCAGGTTCAACAAGGTTCCGGAGAAGGTTCTGGAGAAGGTTCCGGAGAAGGTTTCGGAGAAGGTTTCGGAACGCCTTGGTGCAGAGGTGGGCCAGGTTTAACGAGGGTTCAAGTAGGTTCCGGTGCGATTCCAGGAGTGTGTCGGCGCAGTTTTTAGATGTTTTTAGGTCAATTTCCAGCCAATTTCGGATGAACAATTCTGTGAAAACAAATTTCTGCTGCTGTTGGGGATACCGCCGAAGCTTATTGCTGTAAACTTAGTGAATCCCTCACCCACCATGGCTCACAGTTTCCCGAAGGAGAAGCTGAAAACTGTCGAAAGCCAGCTTTCAGAAAACAGGACCCAACATGCAATGGCATGGCACGACATGGTTGCGTTTTTGGACGGTGCAGACCCATGATTCTCAAAGGAGCAGGGTTTGACCTGAAAGCCCTTTATGTGCCATTTCTATCCATTTCTATCCATGTTTCGGTTTTGATATCTTTGCCAGACTCTTCATTGCCAGCCCCTTCATCGAAAAGCGAGCAATCTACATCCATCACGGTGTCAGAGCAGGGTGGCCGTCAAGTACATTCCATACTGCGCAGGACGAGGTCAAAAGACTGCTGGAAGAATTTGCAGCGTTTTCACTTGCAAACGCAAAAGCTGAGGTGGGCCGAATGCAGATTCGCATGTTGTGCAATTGTGTTCTCGTGAAACACAAATTCCGGTTCATAGGCCGGGTTAGCAGCGTTTTTGACTTTTCGTGCCATTGCGCATGTGTAGTCGGTGAATGCCGGACAAGTCGACACTTATTGTACCTTTCATAAATTCCAAACATGGACTTGAAATGACTTGAAACAGCATCCATAATTTCAAAGTTTCCTTCAGTTCCATCATCTGTCAAATCAGTGTTGACAGTGTTGGTTCATTGTTTTCGACTGGTTCATGTACGTTGTCCCTGCAGGAGCTAGTTCGGGCTGTGCTTGATGACCTAGAAGCCCGGAGGACTTTAAAGGAACGGACGGAGGCCGATCTAATGGCTGAGGATAATTGGACAGGGCAGATATGATTGCCATCCTGGGCCCCTTGATTGGTTTGACAACCACGCAACCGGTAGGATGGCATTCCCGTTTTTGCTTTTCTTCACGATAAACCTCCACAGGAATGCATCAACAAGCAACCACAGATGCTACGTCAACAGGCACCACCATATCTGTCCAAACAACTTTGAATATAGTTTTTGATTTCCTGTTCATGTCTAGCAAACATGGCATGCAAAGAAACTTTGAAAAAATAAGATCTTTTATGTTTATTTCTTTTACATGTTTGAATATGACCTCCATTCCATTTTTAATGCTTCTATGCGCTGGCTATGAACCTTTTTCAAATGCACCTTCCTGTCGACCAGGCCGCCACAGCATCCTCTGAGAGCTTGGCGCTCAGCATTTGTTTTACGCCAGATACGCATGGAATCCTCTCAGGAATCCTTTGGAAGCCACTCTGCCTTGGTCATGCCAAGGCCAAGACACCACAGCTGAGGGCAAACCTGTCGAGAAGAACAGGTTGGGCAGCGGGCTCAAAGTTGAGGCGAATAGCTGGATGGGTTGTCAGCAGAGGAGGTTGACGTTGCCCTGGTCATAGTAATGAATGATTACTACTTCTCCCGTTGCCATTCTGTCAAGCTCAGTGGTTGCTGCTTGTTCCGTGGCGCACCGGTAGAGCTCATGTCATTTTGAATCTGATGTTTTTATTGAAAATTCAGTGAAGATATCACGACGTATGTTTTTGTATACAAGTTGTCATAGTTCAATTAGATTTGACGCAATGTGCATGAACATTTGTCACCTTTGTCACCCAGGCTGGACGGAGCTGCACACTGCCGTCTGCAGCGGCGACAAAGAGTGCGTTGAGCAGCTAGAAAATCGCATGTCTGTTGATGCCGCGGACGGAAGTGGTCCGAAACTTTGGAGAGTACAGAATTGTAAGGTGTTATATAGTTGTTGTTGAGAAGTCAAATTCCTTTAACAGTTGAGAGCGGCAGATCAGCACCTTGTTGTGTCCTTTTCTCAGGCTTCGTGCGCCACTCAGGCCGGACACCACTACACTTGGCTGCCAGTGAGGTCTCGGAACCGGCCAAAACCATCGATCTGCTGCAGCCTGCAGCCGCTGCAGCCGATATTCGTCAGTGCACCAAAGCACCTCAACAAGGGGGGGTCCGGGCCCCCACCTCCGCACCGCCCGCAGTTCGCCGCCCTTTTTCCCGCAACTTGGCTTCGGTGTCGCTGATTCTGTGGACACCTCAATGACTGGCTGAAGTGGGCCGTTGCCCCATCCAAGCCGAGCGATGATAGGGCTGGTGCACACTGACAAGCCGTGCGCAAGTGACTGAAGTGGGCACACTCCCATAGGAGATGGTGCAGCATTTTTGCATATTTTTGCTTTCGTCAGGGTTGAACAGCTTAACAGATCTTCTGTCAACTTGAGCAGTTCTGTCGTTTGATGTCAAAGTTTGCCGCCAAGGTTTCTCTCCCTTGAATTTGGCTTGCGACTCGAAATGCAAGGAAGCGGTGGCTGACCTGCAGAGTGCCGCTCCTCGACTGGCAGAATTTGACTTGTTATACATTTTGCAATTGTCATTGAATTTGGTTGAGTCTAGCCATGAGATGTGCGCCCAATCTCTATTGTGCCATTCTTTTGTCTATAAGTGATGTTTATTCCTCTTTTCGAGTTTTGCGTACCAGGCGGTTTCGTGGAGCACGGGGGAGATGTCAGGTATGCTAGGGTGGAGCCAAGATAGCATAGCATGCCACAGGATGGACATTGAAAAGGCACCACACTACAACTTCACGGGGCAAATCAGAGGAAAGCGGGAAATTTGTAATTAGTAAGTTTGCTCCCAAGATACTTTGGTGTGCTCGAGATTCAGAGCCCTCTTCAGTTGTATTCCACGTGACTGCTGCACCAAGGAGGGCTTATCGAAAGCTGCAGAAGGGACGACGGAAGATCAGATCCGGACAGAGGCCAGGAAGGGTTTGTTCGTTGAAAAACTGTAAGCTCTTGAATCGACCCAATCAAATTTGATGATTTCTTTGCTTGACATGTTTGACTGCGTCAAGATCTGAAGTATTTGTGAATACGTTTGATATCTTTGGACCTTCCGTTCGGTTTTTTTTTCTTGTTCCTCCAAGGGTGTCCAAGGCTGAGTGTTTTCACCTTCAAAAGCGGGCAATGGAAGAAGCCAGGTAAGAGTATGTTCATGGTTCCAGAACGTAGCAGTAGCCTCAAGTCGGACCCGCAAATCAGTGGGCATGGAGGGCCCGCGTCACATATTGGGGATATTGGGGTGGTGTAAATCCCTGTTTAGAGATGTTGTACGGAAGATATTGGGTTTGGTTTTACACATTGCTGTGGATTTTTTGCCTCAACATACATAATCTTCATCAAAAAAGTGGTTGCTTTGATCTGAATACGACTTCTTGCAAGAAAGAACGCTTTGCTAGGAGATCAACACCCTTCACTTCATTCTGAAGGAGAGTCCTGCTGTCCTTTCCTTCAGAGGCAACAGCTACTTCGCAAAAATTGATCCCAATGCCAAAGTTTGCTGGGTCTCGTTCCCAGGGAAGTATGAAACAGGGTGGGAATCCCTGATAAGTCGACACGTCAAGGACTCCGTGGCATGCGTATTCCTTTGCGACACTGAGCATGGGCTTGGGCAGCACTACTTTCCAGATGACAATCTGCAGCAATGTCTCTGTGCACAGATCTACGGTGAGCGCAACTATAAAGATCTGGGATACCTCCAAGAGGTGGAACACATATGCACCGATGACGAGAAATCAGAAAGAAGAAAAAGAGCAGAAGCGATGAAAAGTCACATTGTTTTCGGAAAAGCCACTGACAAAGATAGGGCAAAAGCTCAGCAACTCTGGGAGCAGAACGGGAAGCGAGCGAGTTGGGGCTGCGCTTGGTTTCAGAAGTGGTTTGACCGAGTGAAGAGAGCAGTAGACCTGGGACAGAAACTTAAAGTGGTCTTTTTCCCGGGTCACGTAGGCTGTGGCAAAGTCCCCTGGAGAATGCTGCCAAAAGTGAACCTTTGGGATGGAATTGGGTGTGGTGGCTCCCAAAAAGGGGAAATCGCCAAGCTGGATGAGATGCGACGCACAGATCGCAGCGGCAGATGGGACTACGACGAAGTCGACGTGACCGAATTCTTGGCAGCGCAATTCAAACCTGGTGACAAAGTCGACGCATTTGACCCAGATCAGAATAGTTTTGTCACAGCTGAGCTTCTCCAAACGCCTGTTCCTGACGCCAAGAACCACCATGACCATGATGATATGAAATGGCAGGTGATGTGCAATAAAACAGGGAAACACTTCGAGACCAAGCGTCTGCGGCACGCCACAGACTTTTTTGAGAAACTCTTGGAGCTGAATGTATTTGGAAAGGACTCTTTGAAGAAGATCGTAGAGGACGCAACGAAACTCCATGTAAAGTCTGTACACGAGTCGCGGCTTCAGAACGGTATGCCTTGCTTGGCAGTGGATTTTGACCTTCAAACTATTCAAGAAAAACACCAGCTGAGAGATGCAGTGCTAAGTGATGACATCGCCTTTCTACTGAACAATGCTTTAGAAAAGCGTGGAATTACAGAAGAGCTGGCTGTGGACAATACATCGTTTTTCAATCAGTATGCAGCAAGTCTTTTGTCTTCCTCACAGCTGACAAATCATCAGGCAGAGAAACTCGAAGAACTTTCCAGGTATTTACATGAAGACGTCCATTTGTCAGCCCCGGCTGGAGCGGGGAAATCATTCTTGGCCATCCGGCATGCGATCAGCAAACTGAGTTCGAGCAGTCAGGGGAAGATTCTATTCATCTCCCCGAACCGATCTCTGGGTTTCTATTTCGTCCGCTGGCTCCTCACACATGCACAATCATCGCTACCAACGATGTCCAGGAACAAGCTCTTACAAAGACTTGTTTTGATGCATACACCCTATGACAGATTCACGGGAGTACACATTGAAGATTGCCAAATTGTTCTGCAGGAATTGACGGTCATGCCGGATGACTTGGTTCTCGCAGTTTTTGATGAAGGACATGAAATATTCAGAACGAACCAAAGGTTATTCCAGGAAGTTCGTGCCCAGCACAAGTTGATTCTCTCAGACCTTTCCCAGTCCTTCTTACTGGACAACAATTATCCTGAGATGCGCCGGGTGAACCTCACGGAGGTTGTCCGTAGCACAAAACGAGTTGCCTTTGGAGCAAACGCATTTCAGCTGCAAGATGGTGAGCCAACTACATGTCTTGGCACAACTGGCCCTCCACTGAAGTCATTTATTTTCGAGGTGCCCGAAGGGTATGATGGTGATTTGTTTGCGCACTTTGCCCAAAACACAGTGGAAGCTCTGTGGTTCATTCTGCAAAGGCACCCCAGCATGCGGCTTGATCGGCACGTTGCATTGCTTGTGCCAGACGAACATTTTCACATGATTTTCAAGTCACATCTTGAGGAGCGCTTGGAGGCAGATTTCGCGCCAACTTACAACATTCAGTTGGTTTCCTTTGAGGAATCTTTACGTTTCTTACCAGAGGCTGTACATCAGGACCGGAGGGAGGATGAACTCATCCTCGACTGGGACACCAACGCCAAAGGGTTGGAGCAGCTGTTTATCATTTGCATTGGCTTTGATGCGCAAATCACTGGTGACACTGACAATTTCACCAGAGCGCGTCTTTATCATGCTATCACTCGAGCACAGCTCCAAGCCATTGTTGTCGACCGATTCGTCCGTGGTGGTTGGTTGGAGTTTCTCAATGCTTTGAAACTCAAAGAGACGACCTTTCAAGCGGATGATGCAAAACTGGAGATCAAGAAGGATGCAGCTCTCAAAATAGTGGAAGACTCTCGGCCGGAAACTGTGCCAGGTAAACCGACCAAACAAGAGAAGCATTTATTTCACCATCACATAGTATTTTAGATATCGTAGTTTAATACGTGTTCCGTGCATGGTAAATGAATATGTATGAACGCAAAAGCATTCTGTTACAGATTTGAAGGTCGGAAAGGCATTGTCGAAAGGTGGGTCGAAATGAGAATCACTTGGAAATCTGCGTTTTGCCCAAGGAAACCACTCAATCCGAAGCTGATTCACGTCCAGAAGCGGCCACCAAGGCGCCTGGAGGGTGTCCACGGTCCATGGTTTGCTCAAGGGGTTTCATGATCATCAATTGTACCAACGTGAGGTCTGTATTTCAACACGTTTCAACAGCTTGCATTACGGTGAGGTGAGTGAAAGATTAAATTTGTGTCTCCTGTTCTTGGTATAGATGGGAAGAACCCCGAGAGTAGAGCGGTGCTTCCTGGCTTCAGATCCAGCTGTGGACAGGAACCTGCTTCATCCATGGGCCAAACAGCAAAAATCACTGCGGTCCTGACCTTGGAAGATCAAAGTGGGTTGTTCCAAACACAGGACACTGGGACACGCTAATTAAATTGCCGTTTCCAAGAGAAAATGCTGATCAAACAAACATTATATATTGGAGTGCCTTATTTTGAGAGAGGCCTGAGAGTTGTGACTTCCACAGCTGTGTGCAGTCACCTTTTCACCTGCTCCAGCGAAGCGGTTGAGGAACCAGAAGCTGGCCCAAAGGCACTGGAAACATGTCTGATTGAGCTGGATCTTGTGCTTGTTTCCTTTTTACTGTTTTTTTTAACACATCTCAACCAGTAAAAGAATCAACTGAATTCCTGGTCTTGTCAGTAGGTTGCACGCATGTGGTACCATGCTACCTGATAAAATAGCATGATAGTCATGTCTGGAGTCAAGTTGAATTGTTGTGAGACATGGCTTGGTTCTTGAGCAATGCTGCCTGCTAATTTGGGTTCAGTGCAGGAGCCTACGGTGGTTGAAGTGCTCCCAACTTCCATTTGGGACACCAGCAGCAACATGATCAAAACCAAGATTGCGAAGTTGAAATTTGATCCAAGGTCTACTGAGGACACAACACCTGTGTGACTTTGTCATCAACGTCATACATTGCAATAGCAGACGAAATCTTCAAAGTGTGTGTTACTTAAAGTGTGTGCTACTTTGCCTTAAGTCTGTGATCAGTCATTACGTATCATTACGTCCTTTAAAGTTCCCTGGCATTTTTCATGGCAACATCCAGCAAACCTATTTTTGGAGTTTCGGGCCTTTAGCATCCCTTTCCGCAAAAATATCAAGACGCAACACGACGCAACCTAATTTGAGGGATTTGGTGGACTGGAGCCCCCCACGTACCAAAATTTGGAACGGAAGCTAATTTGACGGGTCTGGCGAACCTACCTTTGCGCGAAAATTATGAACGCACCCTAATTTCAAGGGTTTGGGGCATTTCCCTTGCCAAACTTCCAGATGCAAACCGATTTTTGGAGCTTCAGGCCTTTAGCAAACCTAGTTTCGAGCTTAAGGGAATCATCCCAGCACGTTAGGAAGACATGCGCATGAATCAACACAGCGCAAAATGAGCAGCTGTGAATGTCGACAACCCATTCTCCTTCACAAACACCCCCCCAAACCCTTGTGGAATCTGGACGAATCTGGTGTATTTGTTGATTATCTGGTCCCAGAAAATTTGGTGGGGTGAGTGTCATTCATTTTCGGATGATTTTCCAACATTTTCCCTTGAAACATTGGAACTTCCCAGCCAGCCAGTTTAGAATCCCAGGGAATGATTCCCAGAGGGTATGCAACTAAGCATTCACCAAAGGTTTACTGTCGAATCTGTCCGAGTATCCGATTATTCTTGGTTTATCGCCTAGGCTTGGTTGTTTCCATGGGTTTTATCATGTCTTATCACCACTTTATGTGTGGTTTCTCTCGTGTTCGATGTTAAATCTGGATTTTGGATGGTAAACAAGGCTGCAACAACCATAGTGGTAATAATCCAAATTTTGATGGCAGAATCTCCGTTTTCCACGGTCTAAATAAATTCTTGACTTTGATTTTGCTATAGTCAAATATAGTAAATGCAACATCTCGCAGAATCTCAACTGTCAAATGTCAACTCCTAACCTTTCATCGTCAAATTTTCGTTGCTGTCTGATGGATCTCCACGCGCTGTGTAGCCCTAGCGTTTCCAGAATAATTTTGTCGTTGAAGACGGGCTGGTGATGTTGGCTCAGTGGATTGCAATGCGTTCAACCCAATAGCAAAACCCTGAATGGGTGGTATAATCCATCCTCAAATGGTGGGTTTATGGTCTTGGGTTTGCCACAGTGTCAACAGTCATGAACATACATCAACGTCATGCATGGCAAATGGCCGACGATATTTTCAATTTCTTCGCCTGACGTCTTGGTAGTGGTGACATATGAGTTGTTATCGAATTCCCTGAAGTTTTTCATGGCAACATCCAAAGTGTGCACACAATTTCGGGAGCTGTGACACCAGGAAGATCCGGAAGATCAGGCCGATTCAGAACAAGTCGAAGCCGACGAAGCGGCAGCGGCGGAATGTCTGGGCCTCAGTCCTTTTGACTAAAGATAGAACTTGATCCTCAGGTAGAAGATCTGGAAGTAATTTGAAGTTGCACTTCAAGTTCCACAACATGAACATCATGAACTTGTAAAAGTTCAATAAGTCTAGTTTCTAACTCATAATTTCCATATAATTTCCATAAGTAGCAGACTTGGACTTATAGAAGATAAAACATAAAGATCTAAGGAACTGAGGAACTTCATTTCTGCTGCATTTCTCCGCGCGCCGAGATCCAAACATCACCGAAGCGGCGCTCTTCGGCGACCTGGCGGCGGTGCGGGGCCACCTGCGCCGCGACCGGCGCTGCCTCGACCAACTCTCCGAGTTCACGGGGGCGGGCAGCCGCGTGGCCGCGCTGCACCGGGCAGCATCCAAAGACTCCACGGCGATCGTCGCCTTTCTCCTGGCGAAGGGCGCGGCCGTGGACGTCCGGAGCAGCCGCGGCCCGGGAGCTCAGAAGCCGCCGGGAGCCGCAGCGGGTGGTGCCTCCGACCTCCGCGGTGCTGAGGTTGGACTCCGCTGCACTATGCAGCATACAACGGCCGCGTGGAGAGCGCCAAGCTGCTGTTGGCAGCGAAGGCCTCGGTGGACGTCAAGAACGACGACGGCCGGGGGCCTCAGCCGATGTCACAACCGTTTTGACAACAGTTTTTCACCGGCAATCACAATAATAGCCGCAGTTCAATGTGGCATGTTTTGATGAATTAAAATTTGAAATTTCAGGTTCTTTCAACTTCGTTGGGCATGGGATTTCCTTGGATTTCTTATCTCACGTTCCCGTCTTCAAAGTTCCCTTGAAACTCAAGAGCCGTGATTTTGGGGCATGTCTCTGTCGCGATCAACGTAGCAGAGTCATTCATGTCTTTGACTTTCTGTGACATTCCCTGCGGGAAATCTTCTTGGATGTCCACGAGCCAATGTGAAGAGTGAGACAAGGGTTTCCGCACATTCAATCACCACCTCTGAGATTTTGCAGTGTGCATGTTGATCACTTGAAGTCATATGTATTGAAGGGCGTCAGAAGTGATATTTTTGAGGGTTGTCAGTTTCACCTGGTGCCAGCTGTCGTTCCCAGGCGAACCCCCGTTGGACATGGCTAGACGTAGCAACCACACAGAGATTGTGACTTTGCTGACTGGCGCTTAGCCTCTTGTCTGCGCTAGTGCTGTCCATGGCATTGGCCTAAATGGTATTGATGGTATATAAGGTCAACAGGTGGTACTAGTGGGGATGAAACCGTGATAGGGGCACATGGAATTGTGTGAGTGGGCACCAGGGATGTTTATCACAAAGGACCTGCCAACAACTGAGCACCGATGACCTACAAATGACAACTTTGATTGAATCTGCAGAATTGATGTGGCACCCACGCATGGAATTCTTTCGGTTGAAACTTGAAACGCTGTGCGAGCATGTGCGACCCAGTTTCATTTTTACATATGATCTTCAAACGCTACTCAGGTTAAACGGGGCAGAACAGCTTGTGTTTGACTATCTTCAGCAACACATGGCCTTAAAGGTCTCTGAGTGGCATCTGCAGAAGCATTCGCCCGCTAATGTTTTGCTCTAGACACAATGATTCGCGTGGTTGAAAAAACATAAGCCCCAGATGTTGTGTGCACTTGTGCTCCGCCCAAGGCATGAAACGTAAGGCTTGGCCGGCTTGGCACCGGGAACAGCTCTTTGGTGTTTGTGGCTGTCAGTTTTTGCTTGAAATGAAGCTATAGCAGTGGAGCATAGTGGAGCCATCATCAAAAAGTTCAAGGGAATAAGCATGGCTACCAAGCAGCTCCTACTTGCCTGTAAGGAGCTTTATTTCATCGTTCATTAGCTAACATGGGAAACTTGATGAACATTGCAAAACCAGTGCTGTGACTGTTGGGCTTATCACGATATGGTGAGTACCCTTAAACAGTTTTCCTTGTCAGCAAGATCTCCTCGAAACAAACACTTACAAAGTTTCCTATTGCAAGTATTGAAGAAATATACTGGGCACATCTGTTCTCCAGCAACCTGCCTTGCCTCGGATTTTTGCAGGATCGCTATGAGATTATGAAGATTTCGGATTTTCGGGCCAAAGGTGCCTGTGAGACGCATCCTGCTAACAATGATGAAAGATGCGCCGCGGAACTCCGTTGGGGCCACAGGGTCTGGATGAAGGTTTGGTCCCCTCAGGGTTAGACGGCTAGTAATTAATTCCTAAAACCATATTCCAAATGATTAACATTTTTGGTGCCTTCAATCAGGATTTTAGCTTCGCAAGTGGCTGGGATCTCTGCTGTGCAGCCATCAGTTTGACAATATTTTCTAGCCTCATACCAATTATTCCCACCCGTGGTGGATTTGTTATGATCAATTCCACATAGTTGTCTTAATGCGATAAAATGGTGGACAAAGGATCATGAAATGACTTCGAGGTCTAGGTCCAAACCATAGATCTTAGCGTTGTCCGTCATCCCAGTGGCAACTCAGGTAGGACTTTTTTTCCGACTGTAGGAAGCAAAAAATCCTTGACACATGAACGGTTGAATATTCTTCAGGTAGTGTTGGAATAGAGCTCCCACAACTGTCGGGCGCTGCTTCCATCATCGCAGGCAAGGTATATCGGTTCTTGTTTTGATTCATTTGCATTAAGTGTATTAGCCGCGATGCTTCACGTACGGTGAAATTGCTGGCTTCAGGTCAAAGCGACATCAGGGATTGAAATGTGCATCAACTTTCCACCCATAGATGTTGAAGATGACTGTAGTTCGTACTACCCATTTTGCATTTTTTGTGAGAAGCTATACAGATCTTTCTCAGTGGGTTGGAAGTTTTTTTTTTTAAATAGTTGCTCACTACTTTCAAGCAGCAACTTCAATTGAACGCATGGTTGGCTTGGGTTGTTGAAAGAGGAGGACCTCCAAAGTTTCAACACAGCAGGAAAGTTTCCTGGATTGAACATGTCACTACCTCAGTTTCATCATTCTGTGGGAATTCGCGTTGCACAACACGGGCATACAATGATGGCCTCTGATACGTTTGCGCGGTGTCCCAGATGTGGAACATAGTTTATTGAGCTTGTTTTCGGTTTTTTACACATCTCAACCAGTCAAAATACAAACTGGATTTCTGGTCTTGTCACCAGGTCAGGTGACATGTTGTACCGTGCAGCGTCGTATTATGGCACTGATAGTCATGTCCAGAAGCCAACTTAAATTGCTTGGATATATGATACATGTTTTGGAACCCCCAAACTCTAGACTGATAGCCTCTGTGGAATGACTTAGCTGCACCTCAAAGGTTTCCACACATCGAATCACCACTTGTCAAATTTGGCAGTGCGAATGTTGATCATTTGAAGTGGTGAATTGAAGGGTGTCAGTTTGGGTGTCAGCTGTTTCCCAGGCGAAATGCCGATCTAGCGAGAAAGAGAGGCCACACGACAATCACCTTAATGGCCCAAATGGCGGTGGGAATTTCAATGGATAAAACATGGTGAAACCGCTGGCAAGTGGATGAAAACATGAAAGGGGGGGATAGTGTGAGTCAGTACCAGGGATGTTGACATATCCGGTTTTACCCACTGCCAAATCATCGTCAAATCCACCTGTCAATATGCGAGCATGGATCAAAAAGGATTTGATGGAGTCATATTGAATCAACACTCATTGACGCACTTGATAAAGCAACATCAGCAACCACGCGTGGGATTCTTTGGCTTCAAACGCCGTGCGACCCTTTCCATTTCCATCATCTTCAAACACGATAGCAGGCCACATACTAGCAAGAAGAGGTTAGATGTCCTTGCGCTTGACTGTCTCGCGCAACACATGCCCAAAATGTCACAGATGGGCATGTGCAAAAGTGGTGTAATTACCAAAAGACTCCAAAAAGACCACGGAGTTGGTCACTTGTTCCTTCATGTCTTGCATCGATTTCACGGGTTGAATAAATTTGAAGCCCAGATTCGTTGGGATCACGCTGTTCATGGGGATTCAACCAACACCCCAAAGGTGACCAGCCTCTTCTCAACCACCAACAAGCAATAGTAACTGGTTGGTGCTTTGGAACCATGGAATTTTATGACTTTCCATTTTTTTGGGAATGTCATCATCCCAACTGACGAACTCATATTTTTCAGATGGGTAGGTATACCACCAACCAGATAAGGGCTTCATTAATCATCTATATTGGGGGCGTCACCTTCGGAGGGTGTTGGTTGAATCCCATGAACACTGCGCGCCTTCGTGCTGCCCAAGGCATGAACCGGAAGGCCTGGCACACATGAGACATTGCGGGTGATGTTCGCATTTTGGTGTTTCATGTGAGCAGCTGTCACTAGTATCAGTATATAATTAAATATAATTAAGTTGTAGCCATTATTTGCAAGTTCAAAAACTTCAAGGGCATGATAAGAATGGTTGTGTGGTCTTCGATGAACCAACACTTGATGGCAGCCCGTATGGACAGTTTCGCCTTTTTGGATACGGGACATGTTCGTCCGAGACCTTGGTCAGAACTTTCGACAGCCTCTGCCCCAACGTGTGCATGGTTGGTGACGGTTCAGAATCCATAGTGAAGTTTGATGGAAGTTGCAATTGCAGCACTGTGCAAGATCTTACCCCGAGCTGCTTTCAGCGCTGGAATCCTCGTGTTATCTGTCGTTGCAGACAAGAGGGGGGCAAGAATCCCCAGGGAACAGCAGCAGTTTTAGGACATCCCCAATTTCACAGTTGTTGGTGGCCATGCGTGCAAATTGAGTCACTGGTACTGGGCTGCGATCATTCCAGACATATATAGATCACCTACATGTTTTATTTTTTTTTGATTTTTTTTGCTTGTTTTGCTAGGTTAGCACTTGTACTATCTTGTACTACATTTTTTCATGCTGGATGTCTTGTGATTTCACGTTTTTCCATCTTTGACCCCCGGTTCAGAGCTGTAACCCATGCGCGCGTCATGCATAAGTTATTTGGAACAAATTGTGTAGGGCGGGAGCGGCGGGAGTGCCAGAGTCGCCGAGCTCGAGCTTACATAGCGTATAATACATGTCTAATATGCATATATTGTGGTGGAACCAATCCCACCCGCACCGGTGCTTGACTCTCTGCTTCTTATGCCAGCTCTGAGGACGAAGTGGCGTCCGAACTAGCAACCGCACCTTGGGTTGCTGAGCTGCCCGAGCATGCGAGGGCAATTTGTGGGATGTTACTAGCAAGAACACGTTGAGGAACTTGGGCGTGGGGACATACTATTTTGCAGTTGTCAGCTGCTACCCTATATAATGACTCATTTTGGGTCTCGGTGTTGTGTTGATTCTTCCTGCACTGTGAAAGCATCAATTTCATCCAAATCCGCCTGGGGCCCCAAAGCCGGGGCCAAGTCCGCGTCAAAATTTTCTTGCAGTGGAAAAGGACGCTCTTGCGGAGGTGGATTTGTTTTTCATTGCAAAATGAAAGAGCATTGATGAAATTGATGAAAATAACACTTTTGGCGTTGCAGCTGCCATCAAGGAGTGGCTAAGGAGCCCACATGCCACGGAACCGATTTCAAAAAATCAGTTGTTGGCTCAAGTTGCCCAACATGACAGAGTGGCAATTCGCATTTCAAATGTGGGATGGGGTCCTGCCCGACCCATGGGACTATGAACATTTACGCGTGCCACCCGAGATGCGAGTCGAAGACTTATTTGACCATGCATTTTTGCAAACAATTTGGAGGTTTTCGGAAGTTTTGCAACCGTGTGGCGACCGAGAACGACGTTTTCCTGGAGCGAGACATACCAGGAATCATCCGGAGAGTGCATGCAAAGGCGGGGTTTCAGTGTGGGGTGAAGTGAACAGTGACTGCAAGAACCCCTGGTAAATGAGCTATCCAATTCATTCTGGAGCGTCATCAGTCATGATACATGAAGTGGGGATCTCTCTATATCCCAGCCGGAAGAATTGAATGACTGAAGCGTTTGAACATTTTTCAAGTGGTTTTATATTTTTGGAATTCACCGAAGCCTTTCGACATCGCTTCCTGGCTGTGCAGTTCTGGCAGGTGGTTGTGAATGCTGTGAACAAACATACAAAAACCGATAGGTTTGTCCGAAGATATACCCCAAAGGTTGCCATCAAATAATGGCAAAAATGAGGCTTTGATCCAGCAACATTTAATTTTCTGGCACCAAACCCAGATTCTGAATGATTCTAACGCGTGGTCTTCAGGTGTTTGTATCAAACATTGTGTTTCCAGGACCTGCAAGACTGTTTCGCGTTGTGTTACCAGCCCTTGCTTCGCGAAGAAGAACTCCAGGCTTGAGGCGAGACATTTGCTTGAATTTTAGTCATTTGCCGGAAACTGCAAAATAGTTCCCGCAGTGACCCAAATAGTTTGATGCTCTTGTTGTTATCATTCCTTCGTATTCGCTGGTGTGTTTTTTGAGCAACAGTTTCGTTAACAAATAAACCGCTGTATGTGTTGGAAACAAAACGCAGTTCAGATTCATGTGCACAAATAGTGGAAGGCAAAGATGCTCCGCGCTCATGTCATGAGTGGTCTTCCTGGTGGCAAGGTGGGGCCTGGTTGAGGTGGCTATTGTGGACAGCATGGCAGCGGTTTCACAAACTTGGGACATTGGGTAAAAGACACTGTGGCGCAGGTATGCCTTCATTTGAGAGACTCTGTCCAAACATCGTTACCATAATATAATATACTATTATGTATTTATGAACTATACACACATTCTGATGCCACATTCTATTGATTCTATTGTCAAAAGATTGATGATGCTGGTAATGCGGTATTTGGTGCTTTTGTTTTTTTTCTTCAAAAGAACCACGAGGCTACGCAAGGTTGTTTTAATAAACTGGTGGTCATAGAGTCATAGAAGTTCAGACATTCATCAAATTAGCTTTGCGCCATGCATGTTCACCATGCTTTGCAAAAGAAGTGGAATAAGATGGACACATCAAGTGTAGATGGGGGGGTTCTCAACTGCATGCTCCATTTAGATTTCAGTGGGATAGCAGGGAATCCAGATGGGCACCCCTAAAATCCCATGTTTTAAAACCTGATTATTTGATGGCATACTTTACTCGGGATAACTCCTCAATTTCAGACACGCCCAGATTGCATTCTTGCGTGATCACCTGTAGGGATTTTGTGAGAGAACTGTCGGATGACTCGGATAACACGTCGTCACTGTAGGTTTGGCTGTGGCTTGCAGCTCAAACAGGTGCCAATCAGTTGACGTCTTGTTCTGGCGAATTATGATGAATTGTGGTGTTCGGAGCTGCTATTCGATAAGTTCAATCATTTCCACTAATCAAAAGATCATACGTGTAACTTTATTTGTATATATATATACACATAGATATAAATATAAGTATAAATATGAATATAAATATAAATACACATATGAATATAAATATAAATATACATATATATATATATATACACACTGTTGTATGATATATCTGCATATATACTTAATGGACATCTTTGTATATTCATATGCCACCGCCTCTGAGGAGTTATGTGTTTGAGGGATCCATTAATAGAAAGTATCAGAAAACCTCAGTAGAAGTGCTACACACAGGGCAGACAAAAGTGCAGTAGGAAGTGTCAGACAATTTCACAAAAGGACACCACAAACGAAGTGACAGAGTTTAAACACGCCTTTGGGTCGATTGTCAAAAGCAAAAGTACTGTAAGACATGGGACTGTCTATAAAGCAAAACTGAGTCTTTCGTTGAGCACGCGCAGCAGATCAAGCACAAAGCGCGTGCAAATTTCCTTCTGGACACCACGATCTCTGTGAGAAACTGCGGCATATCTTTAAGAAAGTCTTATTCCATCTTGTTCCTTCTACACATCTTGCCAAACAAGTGAGGTATTCCTTTGCGAAAGGAGAACCATTCGCATTTTGAGAGCCCATGCATGAACAAATATACCGCATTTTGAGTAAATATAGCATGAATCTCAAGACAGCACTCCTTGAAGGAAGTAACTCCACAACCACGGCATCTTTTGCAAACGTGCATGGCTAACAAAAGAAAGTGCATCATTTGGAGAAAGTGCAACATTGCCGGCATGGAAGTATTTTGTTTTGAAAAAGTGCAATTTCTTTTAGGAGGTTAGAGTGTGCGTTTTCCAGACATGCAGTATTTCAGTATTTATTGAAGATGGTGACCCAACGCTTCAAGCAAAAATGTGTAATTTCTGTAAAGCAGAGCGGCATTCATGCGTGGAATTCATACAAACCAATGGCTAAATTGTTAGACTAAGCCCGACAGAGTTTGGTTCCAAAGAGACGAAACAAATGGAAGACCATCGTATCCTGTACTTGCACTATGTGTCGAAAGTCCCGACGTTAAATTAAAGTCCTTTGAAGTTGTAGGGGATTCAAGATTCAGGGGTTCCAATAAACAGATTTACCCTGTTTTACCCCGGTTTATCCACTCGAATTGGGCAATTTCAGTGGTGAGAGACCCCGTGCTCTCCAGATGCCGAGACGAACACCGCCTCCTTTTCTCAGCGGCCTCTGCAGCCTGGCAATCCGCAGACATCGGCCCGATGAAGGTGGCCACAGCCAATGTTGTAGCCGTTTTGAAGAGTTTTCCCCGGCAAGAGCAAGTGGTGCAGTTCCATGAAGTTCAATCTGGCCTTGTATGATGTTTTCCGTTTCTGTCAAATTCAACAAATTCAATGGGTATTGGGATTTCCAGATTTCAATGGATGTTTTATGTCTCGTTCCCATCTTCAAAGTACCCTTGATTTGCAAGAGCCGGAATTTTGGACGTGTCTCTGTCACAATCAACGTAGCACGTTTTTGTTGAAGCAGGTAATTTCGGAGTTCATCCTTGTCTTTGACATTTGCAGAGGGGACTCTTCTTGGATACCCGTGAGCCAATGCGAAGAATGACAGACACTTGTCAAAGTCGGCAATGCACATGTTGATCAAATCAAGATAGTTCAAGTATGTATCGAAGATATTCAACGGTGTCAGTTCGGGTGTCAGCAGTCTTCAGGCAACGCGCCCGTGGATCTGGCGAGAGAGGAGTGCCAGACGGAAATCTTGAACTTGCTGATGGACGAAGCCTCTTGGCTGCATGGTTCGGCCTCAAGGACTGCAGTGGCCCAAGGGTGTGAATGGATATAACTTGATATAACATAGTGAAACTTCTGGCACCTGTGGGGATGGAAAACGTGAAAGGGGCGTGCGATAGTGCAAGTCCAGACCGGGGGAGGTTTATGCAGCCAATTTTGGACAAAAATGAAACGGGCAAATCATCGTCCCAAGCCACCTGCCAACAAGTGAGCATAGATCAGCCACGAATCTGAACGTGCAGACTTGATTTGGTGGCCATGCATGGGATTCTCTGCGTTAACCCCGCTGACCCTTTCCAGTTCCATGGTCTCCGGAGACAACATCAAGAACAGGTTGGATCTTTGTTGATTGTCTCCAGCTACACATGGCCTAAGGGATTCAAAATGTCACAGATGGGTATGCGCCGAAGTACCACAAGGACCAAGGAGTTGGTCATGTGTTCGTTCATGATGAGCTTAGACGTATCAACATCTCCGTATTTTCAGGTTTAACCCTCAAACGATCCAACCATTGTGAAGTGCAAATGTTCTGTGCACCTTCTCACCGCCCAAGGCATGAACCGGAAGGCCTGGCACATGGAGTAGCTGAGAGATGTTTGCGAATCCGCCTGATGTTTTTACTTTGGTGTTTCCTCTGAGGGGCTGTCAATATTCGTGGTAGTCAGGATGCAATAAGTAGTATAAGGTCAGCCACAATCCATTAATTTGGAGGAATCAGAACTTTATACTACTGTAATACTAATGATTTTGACAGCTGCCCATGCCCATGTGCATTTAGACGGCCCTGGCCCCGGTAATAATTTTCAAGACAGTATTATGTATCGACATGGCAATGCTTCATTTTGGAGAGGCACACGGTCCATAGTTAAATTTGATGAAAGTTGCAGTTTTACCCTTCAACCTCAGTGCGTAGCAAGATCACGTCACACCTGTGGTAGCCTTTGACATCGTTTGATCATGAATTTGGAAAGGGAAATTTTGTCAGCTGCATTGACCCGCAGCTGCAATGAGCTCCCGAGTTTCTTTAATCTTTGCTGATTGTATCCCCATTATTTCTTGCTTAAAGCCCATGGAACAGCATGATTTCCTCGTGTTTGTTTGCCTTCCCATCAGGCAAAGGTCTCCTCGGCTTGACTAAGTGGTCTCTGGGGTAAGCTTCCCAAAATGTCCAAAAGCGGATTCCGGGCCAAAGGTGCCCTGAAGAGGTGCATCCTGTGATCAAAAATGCGCTGCCCAACTCCTTCAGGGTCACCGGGTGGTCAGAATTGGGTCTCAAAATTGGATGGTTTCAACGCCATGATCTGTGGTTCCATGGTGCCTCACGGAGAAGAGGTTCCTTTTGAGTTTCGTCTCAGTTTGGGATTGAGCTCAGCAAGTGGCTTCGACCTCCTCCAGCCATCACGGGTATAGCCTGAACCTGAAGATTCCCGTCAGTAGTTCATTTATAATAATTTTGATTACCTCACATTACCTCCAAATTGTTGTCTTTCATTGTATAGTGACATGGTGAGCAAACGATCGCAAAATGACGTGTAAATCCATGGAGCTTGGCTTCATGATCATCCCAGCAACCCAGTCAGGACTTTTTCCAGTGCAAATTGCAACACGCATCAAGAAGTAACAAATACCATTCTTCAGCTGGAGTCTTTCAATACCGATGTCTCGATGTTCGGAGGAAAGAACTTCAAGGTTTTGTTTTAATATATAAATTATTTTTTTTTTCTGTGGGGTCTGTTAGAGGTGGTCAAGCTTAATGTGGGGTCAAAGTGCCATGGAAGATGTGCATATATGTGCATGTAATACGCGATCGATGTCACACCATTCCATTTTCAGGTTCAAAGCAACATTGGGACACTTCAGCTCTTCACATGTTTGTGCCAAACTATGATCTTTCTCATGGCGATTGAAATTGAATTTTATGATACTTTTCATTCGTAATTTCAATTGAATCCATGGTGTTGGATGGGCTTGTTGCCCAAAGGGACCTTGGAAGTTTCGGCATTGCATCCACTCCACCCACCCTTCCTGGATTTGACATTTCGGTACGGTTTCACCATTCTACGGGAATTCCCGTTGCACAACACGTGCAAAGAATGATGGCCTTGGGAACGCTCGCAGGGTTCCCAGATGTGCTGGGAGAGCAACTTATTTTGATTCATACCAGGTAGTGTACATCAAACAAATGGTTGACGCCACATAAGCATGCAGGTCAATGGCAAACTTGGATATGTCCTTGTTTTCTTCCTGATATCTAGTGCAGCACGTTTCATGGAAACTTGATGCTATCAAACGACCGCAGAATTGTTGAACAGTTAGTCATGTAGACAAGGGACCAAGTGTCAAGTCAACGAGATTGGTGAGGCTGTCCAGCGTGGTCACAGAAGAGTGGTTTTCAGTCTCTAGTGGTTTTCAATATCTCGTCACTGCTCAGCGTCAACCTTTGTTCAGCATGTTGTCCGGTCTTGACACAGCTGGAAAGGACTTGCCAGCTTTGGCCGAACTTCAGCAGGCAAATGACAATTTGAAGGCCCATTGCGATTTGTGGTTGGAATCTCTTTTGCAAATACATGTAGGTAGGTCATGTTCCAGTCTTGAGGAGGCATTCGGAAAAAGTGACATGTGCTTCTGTGCTGCTGCGTTTCTGTGGAAAATGACATCCAAAACACGCAGTTAAACAAGCGTTAAATGTTTTTGCGTTCTTTTTTGACTGATTTGATATGTTGGTGGTCTGGCTTCATTCCCTGGAAAGGCCTTCTTGAAAACATTTTGTGACCGTCTTCGGGAACAAAGAATTGAGCGACAAAAATTCGAGGTTCACGTGGTGACCGGAAGTTTGGAATGCAGGTAAACCAAGGGTTTAGAAAGTTTAGGATGGTGTCACTTATCGAGGATTTGTGAATAAAACAGAACAGTATATATGATATAATATAGAAACAAAAGTCAAAGATGGCGAGTTCAATCTCATCATATTCCAGTCCCGTTTTCTGTGACTCCCTGGATTGCATAATTGGCATGACAACAATTGTGCTACCCTTCATCTGTCAGCACACAACTGCATATTTGTGGGGTCTTTGCTAGGATGTACCCTGTATGCATAATTGAACTTGGCTTGGACCATGTGGACCTTCACCGGGTACTGTACCTTTTTTGCCTTTTTGCTGTAAACTCAGTGAATCCCTCACCCACCATGGCTCACAGTTTCCCGAAGGAGAAGCTGAAAACTGTCGAAAGCCAGCTTTCAGATGCAAGTCGGGAACAGGACCCAACATGCAATGGCATGGCACGACATGGTTGCGTTTTTGGACGGTGCAGACCCATGATTCTCAAAGGAGCAGGGTTTGACCTGAAAGCCCTTTATGTGCCATTTCTATCCATGTTTCGGTTTTGATATCTTTGCCAGACTCTTCATTGCCAGCCCCTTCATCGAAAAGCGGGCAATCTACATCCATCACGGTGTCAGAGCAGGGTGGCCGTCAAGTACATTCCATACTGCGCAGGACGAGGTCAAAAGACTGCTGGAAGAATTTGCAGCGTATACACTTGCAAACGCAAAAGCTGAGGTGGGCCGAATGCAGATTCGCATGTTGTACAATTGTGTTCTCGTGAAACACAAATTCCGGTTCATAGGCCGGGTTAGCAGCGTTTTTGACTTTTCGTGCAATTGCGCATGTGTAGTCGGTGAATACGGGACAAGGACAAGTCGACACTTATTTACCTTTCATAAATTCCAAACATGGACTTGAAATGACTTGAAACAGCATCCATAATTTCAAAGTTTCCTTCAGTTCCATCATCTGTCAAATCAGTGTTGACAGTGTTGGTTCATTGTTTTCGACTGGTTCATGTATGTTGTCCCTGCAGGAGCTTGTTCGGGCTGTGCTTGATGACCTAGAAGCCCGGAGGACTTTAAAGGACCGGCCGGAGGCCGATCTAACGGCTGAGGATAATTGGACAGGGCAGATATGATTGCCATCCTGGGCCCCTTGATTGGTTTGACAACCACGCAACCGGTAGGATGGCATTCCTGTTTGCTTTTCTTCACGATAAACCTCCACAGGAATGCATCAACAAGCAACCACAGATGCTATGTCAACAGGCACCACCATATCTGTCCAAACAAATATTGTTTTTGATGTCCTGTTCATGTCTAGCAAACATGGCATGCAAAGAAACTTTGATCAAATAGGATCTTTTATGTTTATTTGTTTTACATGTTTGAATATGACCTCCATTCCATTTTGAATGTTTCCATGCGCTGGCTATGAACCTTTTTCGAATGCACCTTCCTGTCGACCAGGCCGCCACAGCATCCTCTGAGAGCTTGGCGCTCAGCATTTGTTTTACGCCAGATATGCATGGAATCCTCTCAGGAATCCTTTTGGAGCCACTCTGCCTTGGTCATGCCAAGGCCAAGACACCACAGATGAGGGCAAAGCTGTCGAGAAGAAGAACAGGTTGGGCAGCGGGCTCAAAGTTGAGGTGAATAGCTGGATGTGTTGCCAGCAGAGGAGGTTGACGTTTGTCCGGGTCACAGTGTAGTAATGATTACCACTTCTCCCGTCTCCATCTGTCAAGCTCAGCGGTTGCTGCTTCTTCCTGGTGCAGCTCATGTCAAATCGAATCTGAAAAAAACATGAAAACCCATGGAGTTCCCTGAAGATATCACGACACATGTCTTTTGTACCCTGACAACATGGCATAGTTCAATTTGATTTGAAGCAATGTGTATGAACGTTTGTCACCTTTGTCACCTTTGTCACCTTTGTCACCTTTGTCACCTTTGTCACCTTTGTCACCTTTGTCACCTTTGTCACCTTTGTCACCTTTGTCACCTAGGCCGGACGGAGCTGCACAATGCCGTGTGCAGCGGTGACAAAGACTACGTCCAGCAGCTCCTGAAAAATCGCGCGTTTGTTGATGCCACGGACAGAAGTGGTCCGAAACTTAGAGCGAGCGAGGTGTTGTTCTTGAGAAGTGAAATTCAAAGCTTCCATGATCCAATCCAGTGACAGTTGAGAAGGGCACATCAGCACCTTTTTGTGTTATTTTCGTAGGCTTTCAGGCGGCGCTGAGGCCGGACACCACTACACTTGGCCGCCAGTGAGCTCTCGGAACCCGTCAAAATCATCGAACTACTGCTGGAGGCCAGAGCCAGGACCCAGGCTGAAGACCTCAGCGGCCCGGAGCCTCAGAGGTCTTCACATAGAATATGTGAATGTGTATGATCTGAGCCCTCGGATCCAACTGAATTCCCATTGGAGAGTAGATTCAGTCTGAGGGCTTTCAATTTCAGTACGTATATTGACACAGCCTTGTCGTATTGATCATATTGATCATATTGATTTGGAAAGGTTTGAGGTCTCCTGTAAACTCGCGCAGTTCTGGCGTTTGATGTCAAACTTGCCGCTAAGGTTTCACTCCCTTGAATTTGGCTTGCGATTCAAAATGCAAGGAAGCGGTGGCTGTTCTGCAGAGCGCCGCTCCTTGACTGGCAAAATTTGACTTGTTATATTTTTTGCAATTGCCATTGAATTTGGTCGAGTCTAGCCATGAGATGTGCAAGTAGATGTGCACCCAATCTCTATTGTGCCATTCTTTTTTATTTTGAATATTTTTGAATGATGTTTATTCTTCTTTCCATGATTTTCGAGTTTTGCGTGCCGGACGGTTTCGTGGAGTACGGAGGAAATGTCGGGTATGCCAGGGTGGAGCCAAGATAGCATAGCATGCCATAGGATGGAAATTCAAAAGGCACCACACTACAACTTCACGCTGCAAATCAGAGGAAAGCGGGAAATCTGTAGTAAGTTTGCTCCCAAGATACTTTGGTGTGCTCGGGATTCAGAGCCCTCTTCAGTTGTATTCCGAGTGACTGCTGCACCAAGGAGGGTTTATCGAAAGTTGCAGAAGGGATGACGGAGGATGAGATCCGGACAGAGGCCGTGAAGGGTTTGTTCGTTGAAAAAACTGTAAGCTTTTGGATCGACCCAATCAAAATTGATGATTTCCTTGCTTGACATGTTTGACTGCGTCAAGATCTGAAGTATTTGTGAATACGTTTGATATCTTTGGACCTTCCGTTCGGGCTGTTTTTGTTTCTTGTTCCTCCAAGGGTGTCCAAGGCTGAGTGTGAACCTTCAAAAGCGGGCAATGGAAGAACCCAGGTAAGAGTATGTTCATGGTTCCAGAACGTAGCAGTAGCCTCAAGTCGGACCCGCAAATCAGTGGGCATGGAGGGCCCGCGTCACATATTGGGGATATTGGGGTGGTGTAAATCCCTGTTTAGAGATGTTGTATGGAAGATATTGGGTTTGGTTTTACACATTGTGGATTTTTCGCCTCAACATACATAATCTTCATCAAAAGAAAAGTGGTTGCTTTGATCTGAATACGACTTCTTGCAAGAAAGAACGCTTTGCTAGGAGCTCAACACCCTTCACTTCATTCTGAAGGAAAGTCCTGCTGTCCTTTCCTTCAGAGGCAATAGCTACTTCGGAAAAATTGATCCCAATGCCAAAGTTTGCTGGGTCTCGTTCCCAGGGAAGTATGAAACAGGGTGGGAATCCCTTATCAGTGGACATGTCAAAGACTCCGTGGCATGTGTATTCCTTCGCGACACTGAGCATGGGCTTGGGCAGCACTACTTTCCAGATGACAATCTGCAGCAATGTCTCTGTGCACAGATCTACGGTGAGCGCAACTATAAAGATCTGGGATACCTCCAAGAGGTGAAACACATATGCACCGATGACGAGAAATCAGAAGGAAGAAAAAGAGCAGAAGCGATGAAAAGTCACATTGTTTTTGGAAAAGCCACTGACAAAGATAGGGCAAAAGCTCAGCAACTATGGGAGCAGAACGGGAGGCGAGCGAGTTGGGGCTGCGCTTGGTTTCAGAAGTGGTTTGACCGAGTGAATACAGCAGTAGACCTGGGACAAAAACTTAAAGTCGTCTTTTTCCCAGGTCACGTAGGCTGTGGCAAAGTCCCCTGGGCAATGCTGCCAAAAGTGAACCTTTGGGATGGAATTGGGTGTGGTGGCTCCCAAAAGGGGGAAATTGCCAAGCTGGATGAGATGCGACGCACAGATCGCAGCGGCAGATGGGATTACGACGAAGTCGATGTGACGGAATTCTTGGCTGAACAATTCAAACCTGGTGACATTGTCGACGCATTTGACCCAGATCAGAATAGTTTTGTCACAGCCGAACTTCTCCAAATGCCCACGCCTGAGCACGCCAAGAACCACCATGACCACTATGATATGAAATGGCAGGTGGTGTGCCAGAAAACAAGGAAACAATTTGAGACCAAGCATCTGCGGCACGCCACGGATTTTTTTGAGAAGCTCTTGCGCTTGGACGTATTTGGAAAGGACTCTTTGAAGAAGATCCTAGAGGACGCAACGAAACTCCAAGTAAAATCCATATGTGAGTCGCGCCTTCAAAATGGCATGCCTTCCTTGGCAGTGGATTTTGATCTGCAACGTATTCAGGAAAAGCACCGGCTGCGAGATGCAGTGCTAAGTGATGACTTGGCATTTCTACTGAATGGTGCTTTAGAAAAGTGTGGAATTACAGAAGAGGTGGCCGTGGACAATACATCGTTTTTCGGCCAATATTCAGCAAGTCTTTTGACTTCCGCACAGCTCACAAATCATCAAGCAGAGAAACTCAAAGAACTTTCCAGGTACTTACATGAAGACGTCCATTTGTCAGCCCCGGCTGGAGCGGGGAAGTCGTTTTTGGCAATCCGGCATGCAATCAGCAAACTGAGTTCGAGCAGTCAGGGGAAGATTCTATTCATCTCCCCGAACCGATCTCTGGGTTTCTATTTCGTCCGCTGGCTCCTCACATATGCAAAGTCATCGCTGCCAACGATGTCCAGGAACAAGCTCTTACAAAGAGTTGTTTTGATGCATGCACCCTATGACAGATTCACGGGAGTACACATTGAAGATTGCCAAATTGTTTTGCAGGAATTGACGGTCATGCCGGATGACTTGGTTCTCGCAGTTTTTGATGAAGGACATGAAATATTTAGAACGAACCAAAGCATATTCCAGGAAGTTCGTGCCCAGCAGAAGTTGATTCTTTCAGATGTTTCGCAGTCCTTGTTACTTCAAAACAGTTATCCTGAAATGCGCCAGGTGAATCTCACGCAGGTCGTGCGCAGCACACAGCGAATTGTATTTGGAGCTAACGCATTTCAGCTGCAAGATGGTGAGCCAACTACATGTCTTGGCACAACTGGCCCTCCACTGAAGTCATTTATTTTCGAGGTGCCCGAAGGGTATGATGGTGATTTGTTTGCTCAGTTTGCAGATAACACAGTGAAAGCTCTGTGGTTTATTTTAGAGACATACCCCAGCATTCGGCTTGATCGGCACGTCGCATTGCTCGTGCCAAATGATGAAGAGTTCCACAGAACTTTCAGGTTCCATCTTGAGGAGCGTTTGGAGGCAGATTTTGGGCCTGCTTACAACATTCAGCTGGTTTCCTTTGAGGAATCTTTACGTTTCTTACCAGAGGCTGTACATCAGGACAGGAGGAAGGATCAACTCATTCTTGACTGTGACACCAACGCCAAAGGGTTGGAGCAGCTGTTTATCATTTGCATTGGCTTTGATGCGCAAATCACTGGTGACACTGACAATTTCACCAGAGCTCGTCTTTATCATGCTATCACTCGAGCACAGCTCCAAGCCGTTGTTGTCGACCGATTCGTCCGTGGTGGTTGGTTGGAGTTTCTCAATGCTTTGAAACTCAAAGAGACGACCTTTCAAGCGGATGATGCAAAATTGGAGATCAAGAAGGATGCAGCTCTCAAAATAGTGGAAGACTCTCGGCCGGAAACTGTGCCAGGTAAACCGACCAAACAAGAGAATCATTTATTTCACCATCACATACTGTAGTATTTTAGACATCTTAGTAATGTAATACATGTTCCGTGCATGTTAAATGAATATGTATGAACGCAAAGGCATTCTGTTACAGATTTGAAGGTCGGAAAGGCATTGTCGAAAGGTGGGTCGAAATGAGAATCACTTGGAAATCTGCGTTTTGCCCAAGGAAACCACTCAATCCGAAGCTGATTCACGTCCAGAAGCGGCCACCAAGGCGCCTGGAGGGTGTCCACGGTCCATGGTTTGCTCAAGGGGTTTCATGATCATCACTTTTATCAACGTGAGGTCTGTATTTCAACACGTTTCAACAGCTTGCATTCCGGTGAGGTGAGTGAAAGATTAAATTTGTGTCTCCTGTTCTTGGTATAGATGGGAAGAACCCCGAGAGTAGAGCGGTGCTTCCTGGCTTCAGATCCAGCTGTGGACAGGAACCTGCTTCATCCACGGGCCAAACAGCAAAAATCACTGCGGTCCTGACCTTGGAAGATCAAAGTGGGTTGTTCCAAACACAGGGGACTGGGACACGCTAATTAATTGCCGTTTCCAAGAGAAAATGCTGATCAAACAAACTTTATATTTTGGAGTGCCTTATTTTGAGAGAGGCCTGAGAGTTGTGACTTCCACAACTGTGTGCAGTCACCTTTTCACCTGCTCCAGCGCAGCGGTTCAGGAACCAGAAGCTGGCCCAAAGGCGCTGGAAACATGTCTGATTGAGCTGTATCTTGTGTTTGTTTCCCTTTTACTTTTTTTTACACATCTCAACCAGTAAAAGCATCAACTGAATTCCTGGTCTTGTCAGTATTTGTCAGTAGGTTGCACGCATGGTGTACCATGATACCTCATAAAATAGCATGATAGTCATGTCTGGAGTCAAGTTGAATTGTTGTGAGACATGGCTTGGTTCTTGAGCAATGCCGCCTGCTAATTTGGGTTCCGTGCAGGAGCCTACGGTGGTTGAAGTGCTCCCAACTTCCATTTGGGACACCAGCAGCAACATGATCAAAACCAAGATTGCGAAGTTGAAATTTGATCCAAGGTCTACTGAGGACACAACACTGTGTGACTTTGTCATCATCGTCATACATTGCAATAGCAGACGAAATCTTCAAAGTGTGTGTTACTTAAAGTGTGTGTTACTTTGCCTCAAGTCATGTGATCAGTCATTACGTATCATTACGCCCTTTAAAGTTCCCTGAAGTTTTTCATGGCAACATCCAAAGTGTGTAAACCATGTCGAGAGCCCTAGCGTTTTCAGAAAAATGTTGTCGTTGAAGACGGGCTGGTGATGTTGGCTCAGTGGAGTGCAATGCGTTCAACCCAATAGCAAAACCCTGAATGGGTGGTATAATCCATCCTCAAATGGTGGGTTCATGGTCTTGGTTTGCCACAGTGTCAACAGTCATGAACATACATCAACGTCATGCATGGCAAATGGCCGACGATATTTTCAATTTCTTCGCCTCACGTCTTGGTAGTGGTGACATATGAGTTGTTATCGAGTTCCCTGAAGGTTTTTCAAAGCAACATCCAAAGTGTGTAAACCATGTGGAGAGCTGTGACACCAGGAAGATTCGGAAGATCCAGAACAAGTCGCAGCCGACGAAGTTGCCGCTGCGGAATGTCTGTGCCTCAGTCGGTATACTGACTATATATAGAGCTTGATGCTACCTCAGGTAGAAGATCTGGAAAAAACATATGAAGTTGCACTTCAAGTTCCACAACATGAACATCATGAACTTGTAAAAGTTCAATAAGTCTAGTTTCTAACTCATAATTTCCATATAATTTCCATAAGTAGCAGACTTGGACTTATAGAAGATAAAACATAAAGATCTAAGGAACTGAGGAACTTCATTTCTGCTGCATTTCTCCGCGCGCCGAGACGACGACATCGCCGTCGCGGCGCAGTATGGCGACCTGGCGGCGGTGCGGGGCCACCTGCGCCGCGACCGGCGCTGCCTGGACCGACTCTTCGAGGTCGTGGGAGGCCGCCGGGCCGCGCTGCACGGGGCAGCATACGGCGACCACCTGGCGATCGTCGGCTTTCTCCTGGTGAAGGGCACAGCCGTGGACGTCCGGGACGAGTTCGGCCCGGGAGCTCAGAGCCGCCGGGTGCCGCCGCGGGTGCCTCCGACGCCTGCGGTGCTGAGGTTGGACTCCGCTGCATTCTGCAGCATTCTACAGCAGCGTGGAGAGCGGCAAGCTGCTGCTGGCAGCGAAGGCCTCGGTGGACGTCAAGAACGACAGAGGCTGGGGGCCTCAGCCGATGTCACAACCGTTTTGAAAACAGGTTTTCACCGGCAATCACAACAAATAGTTGCAGTTCAATGAATGTGGCATATCTATACCCTCAAGTACGAAGTGTCTAGAATGGGTACCCCCCTGGGGGTAAATTCTAGGGTTCTAGAATGGGTACGCGATATGATTGTAGAACCCTGACCTCCCCCATTGTAGAACCCTGGAGGTTTTGGTTCCTAGAGTTGTTTTTTTTGATGTTGTAATTTGCTGTTTCCGACCACTTCAGATATCTATGGATCATGTGGAAGTAGTTACCTGGAAAGCCTGGTGCCCATCGTTTTGGGCACTGTCCAAAGTGCCCGGAACTCTTGTCATTGGAAAATGTGCCATTTTTTGGGAGTAGGATTTCTACGTGTGTTTATAGCACTCTACGGGTATTTGTGGCACTTTTATTTTTTTCCGAACATGGTTCGCCAAAAGATAAAGTGTCGTTTTTATGTGTAAGAAGGTTTATGTTCACATGGGCCATGGACCATGGATATGAAATTATCGCTTTGGCTGCGCAACCTCCTGAACCAAAACATGCAAAGTGCATAAACGCAGATAAAAAACAGGATGCCAGGTACCAATCACCAATGCAACAAGAGGTCCTGAAATGATATCTCCCAACTCATTCTGTGGATTTATCTTCACCAGGCCAATAGATATGAACTTAGACCCGCCATTCCTGTACAACCCTCTGAACTAAAATGTACAAACACTATGATTTATTACTCGGAAACCGTTGAGTTTTACACACGGTTCTGACATGATATCTCCCAACTCATTCTGTGGATTTATCTTCACTAGGGCCTTGGATATGAACTTAGACCCACCATTCCTATACAACCTTCTGAACAAAAATGAAGAAACCAATTTGATTTATTATTCTGAAACGGTTGAATTTTGCATAAGGTTCTGAAATCATATCTCCCAGCTCATTCCGTGGATTTGTCTTCACAAAGGCCCAAAGATATGATTTTAGACCCCCCAATCCTGCAAAATCCTCTGAACCAAAATGAAGAACTCAATTTGATTTAACTAAAATTAATTACTACTCTGAAACAGTTGAGATTTACACACGGTTCTGAAATGATATCTCCCAACTCATTCGGTGGATTTGTCTTCACAAAGGCCCAAAGATATGATTTTAGACCCCCCAATCCTGCAAAATCCTCTGAACCAAAATGAGGAATCCAATTTTATTTAATTATATTTAATTATTACTCGGAAACGGTTGAGATTTACACAAGGTTCTGAAATGATATCTCCCAACTCATTCTGTGGATTTATCTTCACTAGGGCCTTGGATATGAACTTAGACCCACCATTCCTATACAACCTTCTGAACAAAAATGAAGAAACCAATTTGATTTATTATTCTGAAACGGTTGAATTTTGCATAAGGTTCTGAAATCATATCTCCCAGCTCATTCCGTGGATTTGTCTTCGCAAAGGCCCAAAGATATGATTTTAGACCCCCCAATCCTGCAAAATCCTCTGAACCAAAATGAAGAACTCAATTTGATTTAACTAAAACTAATTACTACTCTGAAACAGTTGAGATTTACACACGGTTCTGAAATGATATCTCCCAACTCATTCTGTGGATTTATCGTCACTAGGGCCTTGGATATGAACTTAGACCCACCATTCCTATACAACCTTCTGAACAAAAATGAAGAAACCAATTTGATTTATCACTCCGAAACGGTTGAATTTTGCATAAGGTTCTGAAATCATATCTCCCAGCTCATTCCGTGGATTTGTCTTCACAAAGGCCCAAAGATATGATTTTAGACCCCCCAATCCTGCAAAATCCTCTGGACCAAAATGAGGAATCCAATTTGATTTAATTATATTTAATTATTACTCGGAAACGGTTGAGATTTACACACGGTTCTGAAATGATATCTCCCAACTCATTCTGTGGATTTGTCGTCACAAAGGCCCATAGATATGATTTTAGACCTCCCAATCCTGCAAAATCCTTGAGCAAGAATTGGAAAATAACAAATTGATTCAGGTGCCAGAAAGTTCTTTTTAAAACAGATTAAGACATACTTTAAAACTACTATATGTCATTTTTTTGACATATTGCCAAACATTGTCTTACGACGCTTTCCCCTGATAACTACATCGAAACCTTAAGTACTAATCAAAAAATGAAATGATGTCATGGACGCGAGTAATAACCAGTCCCAGCCAATCAGTTTTTAGTATTAAGATGATAAGATGAACCCTCAAATGGGATCTTGACCCCAAAAAATGTTTTCTAAATGCGATTAATTAAAGATCAAATTGACCAACCTGAAATTTCCCGGAAATGACAACCGGGATCTATTTCTATTCATTAGGGGGGTTTGAAATAGGAAAAGGGGATTAGCATGGGAGCAAAGGAAGCAGGCGGGTAATTGAGTTTGTGAGATTGCGGGTTTTGCTTAGGTGCAATTGTTGACTCCGTTTTTTGACAAAAGAAAGGCTCCAAAATGAAGGCGTTCTAGGATCATATTCCTGATTCCCCATGATATGATTCCAGAACCCCCCCAACACAAACTGCCAAGGTTCTAACATCATCAAGTTGATCCCCGGGGCCCCCCCCCTAGGAAAATGATTGTAGAACCCCTGTAGGGGTTCTAGAATCACCCTCAAGGGTCCCTGCTCGTAGTTGACGGTATGCATATCTTATGACTTATGACATTTTGTAAGTTTTTTCAACTTCAATGGGCATGGGATTTCCCTGGTTTTCTCATCTCAGGTTCCCGTCTTCAAAGTTCCCTTGAAATTCAAGAGCCGTGATTTTGGGGCGTGTCTCTGTCACGATCAACGTAGCGCACTTCTTGTTTGAAACATGTTCAAACAATAGGGTTTAGAGATGTTTAGAGTTCATCCATGTCTTTGACATCCACGTGAGCCAATGTGAAGAATGAAACAGAGGTTTCCGCACGTTTTAGTCACCACTTGTCAATTTCTGCAGCCCGTATGGCGATCAATTGAAGTTATATTATGCTGGAAAGGGCCAGTTCGGTTCCCAGGCAAAACACCCTTGGATCTCGCGAGACAGATGGGCAAGACGGAAATGGTGAACCTGCTGATGGGAAAAGCCTCTTGGCTGCACGGGTGACGCTCAATGCAGTGGCCCAATGGCATAGTAGGTGGGAGTGTCCATGGATGAAACATGGTGAAACTGCTGGCACCGGTGGGGATGAAAACATGAAAGGCATAGGGATAGTGTGAGTCCCTACCACGGACGTTTACGCATCCGATTTTGGACACATGAATAACCTAAAACCATTGCTCAATCATCATCACAGGCCAACAATTGAGCGCCGGTGAACCACGAATTTGATTGAATCTGCAGAATTGACTCGCTGCCCAACATGGAATTCTTTTGGTTGAAACGCCATGCCACCCATTCAATTTCTATCGCCTTCAAGAACAAATCAGATTATATAATTATCAGATTAAGCACGGACAGAACAGGTATGTTGTTTTTGGCGTTTGACTATCTTCAGCAATACTTGGCGGCCTAAAGGTCACCGATGGGCACGTACACGAGTAGGCATTTGTTCGCTAAGATGTTTCTTCTGTCCATATCGAGTTTTGGGGTTGAATCATCTTGAGGCCCAGATGTTGTTTGCACCTTCGCTCCGCCCAAGGCATGAAACGTAAGGCCTGGCACCGGGAATAGTTCTTTGGTGTCTGTCAGTTTTTGTTGGGAATGAAGATACATTGAACAAGTGAAACAGTGAAGCCATCATCAAAAGGT